AGAGCTAAATTTAACAAATATTTTATAGGAAAGGCGCCTTATACAATAGAAAAACTCATTGAATAAATTCTTTAATAATTTAGTACTTAAAATGTAATACCTAGGCTAGTTTACTACTTTATATTTGTCACTATTTTTGTACCAATGTACATGTAAGGAAAATAAAGATGTTTTTAATTTGAATTTCAATGTTGAAAAAACGTCCCTGGAAAGTGGAAACTAAAATGAAAATTATTATCTTATGAAGATTTTGTTTTCAGTCTAAAACGTCGTAATACGCAGTCTATCCGAAAAATTCAGATATATAACTAGTAGTGTCGGATATCAAATTTGAGCTCGGGTCGGTTACAGGTATCCGAACCAAACCGAATCCTACCCAATTTTTCAGATACCCGAACACCTCTAAATGATAAGGTCTTAATCATCATACAAAATTTAAAAACTATTGCTTCAGCCATCTAGCAGAAGTTTGTATGTGACGAAAAACATAAGGGACCAAGTACGAGGGCAGTTCGGAAAATAACCTCCGTTTGCTTCTTGGGCGGGAAGTAGGGGTGGTAGCACAGCCATTTTTGCTCCTGCGATTGTCACAGGTCAGTTGGCGTCCACCCGTGGTAGTGTAAAGGTCGTCCGAGCGCTAGTTTTTTTGTCATCGCTAGTCAAAATGAGTACTGCAATCGTAAATCCCACCAAGTGTGAGGTGCGTGCTGTGATTCAGTTATTCGTAGCTAAACAGTATTGAAATGAATGAAATGAAATCAACTTTATTCATAATTTGCAAACATGTGCACGAATGGCGTCATTACATTGGATCAAAATCATAATGCTTAATCCTAAAAAAGTACAAGACATAATCACTATTGAAAATGTTCTTATTCTAATACATTATGTAGAAGGAAATATTCATTCTTTGAGTACAGGGGTTTAGTTAAAAGGTACATCTTTAGCTTATTTATACATTTTGTAGTTTTTGTATAGTCCTTTAATTTTGTTGGAAGAGCATTGTAACATTTGATACCCATGCTGCTATATCGGCAGCAGCTATTTATAGAGAACTTTGTGCTGTGTATGGACCTAAAATAATAAGTGAAGGAACACCTTTACTTATTATTTACTGACCACAGATGGCCTGCCACTTCTTTCTTCATTGTGCACGTTCGTTAGGCCATTTAGTTGTTCGGGAATGGGTTCGCTCGTTTAAAAATGGTCTAACGAACATGCACAATGAAGAAAGAAGTGGCAGACCATCAGTGGTCAGTGATGAACTGGTTGAGAAAATCAACGCAAAGATGCGTAATAACTGACGATTCACCATCTCAGAACTTTCAGATGAATTTTCTCAAATATCCAGGACTGTTCTGTACGAAGTTGTGACTGATAGGTTAGGTTACCATAAATTTTGTTCCCAAAATCCTTTCAGAAAACCACAAGACTCAACAAATGACATCGGGTCTGGACTTTTTGACTCAATACGACAAGGAAGAAGAAAATTTTGACTGAATTGTGACTGGCTATGAAACCTGGGTAAGATACGTGAATCCTGAAACTGAAGAACAGTCTAAGTTGTGGGGTCATACGGAATCGCCACACAAATCGACAAAAGCCTGGCAAGATGAAAAAAAAATAAGCTCATGGCAACTGTGTTTTGGGACTCCGAAGGGGTGCTGCTGGTTGAGTTTATGGAACCTGGTGCAACAATAAATGCGGATTCGCAAGTTGAAACTCTGAAGAACCTAAGACGGGCGATCCCAATCAAACGCCGCGGTCTTCTGTTGTCTGGTGTCGACCTTCTGCATGACAACGCACGTCCTCTTACTGCCCAGAAAATTAAGGCCCTTTTGGACCAGTTCAAATGGGATGTTTTTACACATCCTCCATACAGCCCAGACTGGCTCCGAGCGACTACCACCTCTTCATTCCCATGAAAAAATGGCTTGGCTCCCAGAGATTTGAGGATGATGAGGAACTGAAAAATGCAGTCACAGGATGGCTCAAGGCATTGGCGGGTGATTTTTTTTAAGAGGGAATTTCAAAGTTAGTCCATAGATATGATAAGTGTTTAAATGTCCAAGGAAACTATGTTGAAAAGTAGAGGAAAGACGTAGTTTTAAGATGTAGGTAGGTATATAATAAAAAAATTGTTTCTACTTTTGTGTTCTATTTATAGAAAACCGGAGGTTACTTTCCAAACAGCCCTCTTATAAGAGCTTCATTCACTCCACCCAATGAAGTAAATGCCTGTTGATATATGTATATATGTAAAGTAGTAGTAGTACCTGGTATGTATGTATATGTATAGTTGATGCCCATGTTTACTGAGGTATTACTCTTTGTGCTTTGTGTATTGTCTTTTAAGTGGTTTTGCATTTCCCATACAGAATTCAATATGTCGGCTCAAGGCTCGATTACTGCAGCCTATTGTATTTCAGTCTATGATGATTTCAATTTATAATAAATACGAGGTGTTAGCCCGTCCTACGTACGGGAGTAGTCAGTTAAAACGGAGTTGGCCTATAATTCAGAACAGCTAGTTTACACGTATAAAGACAAATTTTATTGCAGCCTACAGTAGAAGGAGTAATTATCAATTGAGAAGTGTATAGAGGCCTAGTCAATGATATCACCTTCCATCGCATAGCCTACCTACCTCTTCCATAATCAATATCACCAATAATAATAAATAAACAATAAACCGAAAATATCCAATAAAATTCACAGTACACATAATTATAACGTTGGTGTCCTGACATCATCAAACGAATCGTCCACACACATCCTATATGTCAATTTCACTGCATCCATTAACATCAATTTCTGCTAAATAAATAAGTAAGTGTAAACAAAGAAAAGTAAACACAACAACATATAGTTTGTTTTGGTAAACAGCTGAGTCAAAAATAAAATAATATTCATTTGAACAAATGAACTGGTCACATGTTGAAGGAATTAAATACCCCCGCCGCAGCAAACCTGCCGACTAAGCGAATTTCCATTTGTCTGAATTGATTTTCAGTTAAATATATTTTAATAACATTAGGTTTAACGAGTACCTAGGTTTGCTGCTACAAGGAAACTAATAAAGTGTGTTTTTGAGTAGAATATTGATAGATTTGTACAAAATAAATAAATTTGCCAAGTTTGATCAAAATATATTCATAAAAAAGCAAACTACAACATTTGACAATATTCTCCATAAGAATAACATGGGAATTTTAAATTTACAATTTTTTAAATTTTCTCCGTTACTAATAATCAAACAAAAATACTTTTATATACTAAATTATTTGTTTTTTTAAGCTCTTTAAAAAGGTCTAAAGAGAAATTGGGAAATTTTGTGTTTTGAGGGTCAAAAGTGAGAAAAACCAATTTTTACCCCATAAAACCCCCCGTAAAGCCCCGTTCCCATGGTCCGATCGTGCTGGTTCGCGAACTCATTCAAGTTTATCCCGCTTTACACCTTTAAATCAAATTTCATCAAAATCGGACAAAAATTACTCAAGTTATCGCGTTCACGGACGTATATATATATATATATATATATATATATATATATATATGTCTATATATATATATATATATATACATATATAAAAATTTGAACGAATAGTGTTTTTGGCCTCTGGGGACATCAAAATGAAAAAGTAAATCGGTCCCAGGTCTAGGTCTTACCGTGCCACCTACGGTAATAGCTACTTCCCTATAGGGAAATTCGCTAAAACGTAAAACACGCTAGTAAAGCTAGTGACGTAATTAATTGTCTATGTTTATGATCCATTCCGTTATTAGTTCCAATATCCTTGATAATCAAACCACCCTCATTGAATCAATACACATCGTAATTCCCCATATTCATTAATGTAAACTATAAAATATTCAGCGCCTCCAAACGTAACCACAACTAAACACACGCCAAACAACTTTTTTTAGATTTCATAAAAGGATGGTTAGTCTAATTGCAGTATCCTAGGTCAATGATGACTTTGTGTTAAATCTATGTCATTCGTCTGTATATCTTTGAATAACACCCGTCTGAGGTTGTGGTGGTAATTTAAAATTGTATTCCTGAGGATTCTTGATCCCCATCTTTATGACATCAATATTTCCGGGCCTAATCCAAACAAAGTTCAAGCATTCAAAAACATTGATTGTAAACAAAAAGCTGCCAACATGAATTAAAATATGTAAAAATTGTGGTTTTCCTACCCTTTCTAAAAAAGTTGAGCAGTAAAATAATTTGCATATATTTTTTATTTAACTCATGTACAGAGCCTCGACTTGTACACATCGATGGTGTTACTTATCTCGGTGGTCTACTAATCTTACTTATTTCCTATAATCAATGACAAAATCAGAGTAAATAACCTCATAGTTCTATAGGGCATTTTTATAACTAACCAGCTGTTAGTTAAAACAAATTATATTGCTCTAAAACAAATCAAAGATTACAAAGATTGCTTTAAAAAATAATTTGAACATCCTAGTATTTTACTATGTATATTAAATTAATCTGTCATCCTCTTACAGAAGAATTGAACGTATCAATAATTACATTACTGACAGCATTACACATTTTAAATAAGTCAACCCTAAGTATGTCTTTACATTTTTATCCAAATGCTGAATTTGTGACACAAAAGCTGAATGTTTACAGCTGTTATGTTAAGCAAATTATTTTATGCCAAAAGCTAGTTTAGAATCTTAGCGTCGGCTGCTAGACTTTTTAAAAATTAAAACTTAATTTCTAAAAAACTGGGACCCTAAACTAAAATTGTGGCTTCGACATTCCCTAGTTCTCAAAATTATCTTTCTTTCAACACAAAAATCATGAAAATCCGTCGAGTGGTTGATTCAGAATCGTGAAATAAAAAAACCCTGTTTCGTTTTAATATTATAGATTATTGAAACTTAAGTTGTGTTTTATTCAAGACATACATCAATGCCATTGACCTGATTGAGGGATGACGTTTGAGCTGTCAGTACTTGTAGTATTGTTAACTTACCAAGTAAACTATTGGAGGCTTGCCTAGCAGAGCTATGGCAGTGGAGAGTTTCCTCTTGTTGCCTCCAGATAGAGTTCCTGCGAGTCTATCACTGTAGTGACCAAGTCTCAGGTACTTGAGACTGAGGTCTACTTCCTGTGTACAACAACAGTGTCATCATAATGGAACATCATATACAAGAGTGTCAAATCACCAAAGGAGATCCAGACTCGCTAAACTGGTTTACGTTAATTGGTCATAAGGGATGATATATGCAGATTGTTTTTATTGATTACTATAGCCATGTTACTACACAACTATAAGAATGAAATTAGTTGTACCGGTAACTAAAAAAACTGATATTTGTTAAATTTACTAAGACTCTTTGTGACCGATGCAGCTGTAAGTGACAGCAGTTATAAATTCAATATCAACTACTAGTAGGGGCACAAGTCCCTAAAAAGCTCAAATGTAAAACAAATTAAATTATTGTAACTGAGCAGAGCGATGCGAAGCTCTTTGTGATCGACATCAATGCAAACTTTCTAACACAACAACTCAATAACGGTTGAACATATTTAAGCCAAACTTGCCAAGATTGTTTTGTCAAATGTTTGAAAGGTTTAGACAAAACCAATTTCAATTTTTGATAATGCCTATATAATTTAAAAGTAACTCAAGGTTTTCAATTTTAACATTGGCCTTATGGGTGGGTTACCATGTTGGTTACAAAATAGCGACGTAAATGTTAACAAAACAAAGAATCATAGCATATGTTAAAATCAAGCCACGACCTAAACACCATACAAAGGAGAAAAATTTGGATGATGACCACTGATCAAATAATACAGAGAAAGTCTTAAGTTTACATTTAAGTCACAATTTTGAAACGACCACTGTTGGAATAGCAAAGTATTTTACAGATTTGATTTAGGTAGCTACATAAGGTTATAACAAATAACATTAATCTTATGTTATTGGGAATTAAACCAACTACATGATTCCACAGTTTTAAACAACTAGGCATTCTTAAATCAATATTTTTATCTAAATAGACTATTTTGAGCATGCTTTCTTATTATTTACTTTGAAATATTTTTGATGATATCATCGTGTAGGCAACACACTTGTTGTATTGATTTTTGGGTTGGCAACGACATGGGGTATATTATTGCCCAAGAAGGATAAAGTATTTTTTACGTATTTGATTTACAAGAAAATAATACCTAATTCGCATAAGAGTGTCATATCAAGGAAAATTTCAGAATGCATTCTCAAAAACTGCCTGACATGAAAAGAAAAAGAAGATGAGCAATAAATGCCCGAAACACACGAACAACTATATCTGGCAATGTTTTCAGATAGTATAATGTAGAACACTTGCTTGAAAACACAGCTTAAATGTAGAAAATTTAAGAAAATAAACCTCATAAGGTATGGGGACAAATTTGTGCAATTCTCTCAAAGCAGGCATACATCTGCTAATAGTATGGATCTATGCAGGATTATTTCTGCCTGAATTGCAAAATCTGTCCAAGATTGAGAAAATGAGATTGAGCCATCTGTCATGATTCTACTACTTATCACACACTTATAAACTTACATAAAAATACACAAATTTGCAAATTGCAAAGTAAAAGATATCATTGATTTCAACACTCGACATAACAAAAAAGTCTCAACATTGACAACGTTATTCCTGGTTTTAATACAGTTGCAGAAATTGGCTGGCAAATAAATAATCCCAATGTTAATATTGTGTACTGGCGTAAACATTTAAAGTTTGATCTAATTTTGTGTTAAAAGTTAGGGATTTTCACTATTTTTTTTACCGTCACGGGATAAAGACCTTTAATTCGCTCTACGACTTCCCACAATTTTGACGAAAAAGAATCCCCTTACGTAATTAAATATACAGATGTAAAAAATATGCATAACAAAGTTGTTCTTTCTTGGCATTATATTAATAAAACACAAATTTTCAAAGTTTGAAAAAAATTAAATCATACTTATATAGTTAATACATATTATTGCAAAAAGATTTTATACACAAAGAAAATTGTAAACACATTACTTGTTGAATCTTAGCTCTTGGAATATTCCTGAGTCGGGCGTATAACTCAAGGTGTTCTCTTGGAGTGAGGAGAGGGTCAAGAGCATCAAACAGAGGACAATAACCGAGGAGAGACCTGACAGTATCCAGCTCCGAGGCAACATCGTGACCTTGTACTGAAGCCGATCCTCTGGTCATGGCAGTAGCTCCAGTTAACATCTGTAAAACACATCAACATGAGTACAACAACCTAGGAGAGACCTGACAGTATCCAGCTCCGAGGCAAGATCATGACCTTGTACTGAGGCCGATCCTCTGGTCATGGCAGTAGCTCCAGTTAACATCTGTAAAACACATCAAACTTGGGACAATAACCGAGGAGAGACCTGAAAGTATCCAGCTCTGAGGCAACATTGTGACCTAGTACTGAGGCCGATCCTCTGGTCAAGGCAGTAGCTCCAGTTAACAACTGTAAAACACATCAAACTTGGGACAATAACCGAGGAGAGACCTGAAAGTATCCAGCTCTGAGGCAACATTGTGACCTAGTACTGAGGCCGATCCTCTGGTCAAGGCAGTAGCTCCAGTTAACAACTGTAAAACACATCAAACTTGGGACAATAACCGAGGAGAGGCCTGACAGTATCCAGCTCTGAGGCAACATTGTGAGCTTGTACTGAGGCCGATCCTCTGGTCAAGGCAGTAGCTCCAGTTAACATCTGTAAAACACATCAAAATGAGTACAATAACCAAGGAGGGACCTGAAAGTATCCAGCTCTGAGGCAACATTGTGACCTTGTACTGAGGCCGATCCTCTGGTCAAGGCAGTAGCTCCAGTTAACAACTGCAAAACACATCAAACTTGGGACAATAACCGAGGAGAGACCTGAAAGTATCCAGCTCTGAGGCAACATTGTGACCTAGTACTGAGGCCGATCCTCTGGTCAAGGCAGTAGCTCCAGTTAACAACTGTAAAACACATCAAACTTGGGACAATAACCGAGGAGAGGCCTGACAGTATCCAGCTCTGAGGCAACATTGTGAGCTTGTACTGAGGCCGATCCTCTGGTCAAGGCAGTAGCTCCAGTTAACAACTGTAAAACACATCAAACTTGGGACAATAACCGAGGAGAGGCCTGACAGTATCCAGCTCTGAGGCAACATTGTGAGCTTGTACTGAGGCCGATCCTCTGGTCAAGGCAGTAGCTCCAGTTAACAACTGTAAAACACATCAAACTTGGGACAATAACCGAGGAGAGACCTGAAAGTATCCAGCTCTGAGGCAACATTGTGACCTAGTACTGAGGCCGATCCTCTGGTCAAGGCAGTAGCTCCAGTTAACAACTGTAAAACACATCAAACTTGGGACAATAACCGAGGAGAGGCCTGACAGTATCCAGCTCTGAGGCAACATTGTGACCTAGTACTGAGGCCGATCCTCTGGTCAAGGCAGTAGCTCCAGTTAACAATTGCAAAACACATCAAACTTGGGACAATAACCGAGGAGAGGCCTGACAGTATCCAGCTCTGAGGCAACATTGTGACCTAGTACTGAGGCCGATCCTCTGGTCAAGGCAGTAGCTCCAGTTAACAACTGTAAAACACATCAAACTTGGGACAATAACCGAGGAGAGGCCTGACAGTATCCAGCTCTGAGGCAACATTGTGAGCTAGTACTGAGGCCGATCCTCTGGTCAAGGCAGTAGCTCCAGTTAACATCTGTAAAACACATCAAAATGAGTACAACAACCTAGGAGAGACCTGACAGTATCCAGCTCTGAGGCAAAATTGTGACCTTGTACTGAGGCCGATCCTCTGGTCAAGGCAGTAGCTCCAGTTAACAATTGCAAAACACATCAAACTTGGGACAATAACCGAGGAGAGACCTGAAAGTATCCAGCTCTGAGGCAACATTGTGACCTAGTACTGAGGCCGATCCTCTGGTCAAGGCAGTAGCTCCAGTTAACAACTGTAAAACACATCAAACTTGGGACAATAACCGAGGAGAGGCCTGACAGTATCCAGCTCTGAGGCAACATTGTGAGCTTGTACTGAGGCCGATCCTCTGGTCAAGGCAGTAGCTCCAGTTAACATCTGTAAAACACATCAAAATGAGTACAACAACCTAGGAGAGACCTGACAGTATCCAGCTCTGAGGCAACATTGTGAGCTTGTACTGAGGCCGATCCTCTGGTCAAGGCAGTAGCTCCAGTTAACATCTGTAAAACACATCAAAATGAGTACAATAACCGAGGAGAGACCTGACAGTATCCAGCTCTGAGGCAACATTGTGAGCTTGTACTGAGGCCGATCCTCTGGTCAAGGCAGTAGCTCCAGTTAACATCTGTAAAACACATCAAAATGAGTACAATAACCGAGGAGAGGCCTGACAGTATCCAGCTCTGAGGCAACATTGTGAGCTTGTACTGAGGCCGATCCTCTGGTCAAGGCAGTAGCTCCAGTTAACATCTGTAAAACACATCAAAATGAGTACAATAACCGAGGAGAGACCTGACAGTATCCAGCTCTGAGGCAACATTGTGAGCTTGTACTGAGGCCGATCCTCTGGTCAAGGCAGTAGCTCCAGTTAACATCTGTAAAACACATCAAAATGAGTACAATGACCGAGGAGAGACCTGACAGTATCCAGCTCTGAGGCAACATTGTGAGCTTGTACTGAGGCCGATCCTCTGGTCAAGGCAGTAGCTCCAGTTAACATCTGTAAAACACATCAAAATGAGTACAACAACCTAGGAGAGACCTGACAGTATCCAGCTCTGAGGCAACATTGTGAGCTTGTACTGAGGCCGATCCTCTGGTCAAGGCAGTAGCTCCAGTTAAAATCTGTAAAACACATCAAAATGAGTACAATAACCGAGGAGAGACCTGACAGTATCCAGCTCTGAGGCAACATTGTGACTTTGACTTCCTTAGTTACATAAAGGAAGTGGCGATACAACTAGACAAAGTCATTCTAATTAATCTCAACCACATGAAGAGACAACATTACACTGTACAAGGTCTACATCTAAATGCTGCAGGCACGACAAAACTGGCCCGTATTTTTATAAAATCCTTATGTTGGTGGAAATCTCAGGAGCTACATTACAAGTTACAGTTCCATCAGCCTCTAGTAAGCTTAATAGAAACCGACATGGAAGACAAAATTATGGAATACAAACATAGTGAAAACACTGCTTTCACACATTGTATTTCTAGTGATTTTGGGGCTGATAGACAAATGTCCGCTGGGGTGGCAGTGAGTTTCAAAAAAGTTATTGGAAAACCACAAGAATCTGACTGTTTAATAGACCACCTAACCTACCAAGAAATCCTTAACGGTGCTGGTTTTTATGCCTTAGTGACTAAACATAAATACAATGGCAAACCAACAGAAGCCGACTACAACAAAGCTTTCGATGACCTGATAAAATATTTCAATAAAACAAGATTTAGTAAGCTGATTTGTTCTACTATGGGATGTGTCCGTGATGAGATACCGGTAGAGCTATTTGCAAGAAATATATTTAAGTTTCAGCAACTCACCGGAACCCGTGTTGAAGTTATATCCTACAACCAATGGTGGTCTTCAAGATCATTGTGGAATGGGCTTACATATGAAGAGTTTAATACCAGCTTAAGACATCATATTATGCTAATCTACAAGCGAACTAGCGAAGTCATCAACACAGGACCTTCCCGCTATGCAACAGAAGATATTCACACCATCACTGCCTGCACCTCAGGAACTAGACAAGCAAGATGCCGTACCTGGAGACCAGGAGGTAGCTGAGCAACCTCGAGAAGAAATGTCGTCAAGTGTGTGTGTGTGAGTGATACAAATGGGCAATATAGTGTCAGTGATTCACCCGCTTCTTCTTCTTTAGGCCTAAATTTAAACTAAATTGGTATGACAATGAAAACTTTTCTGCAAGTTTTTATAATCCTGTAAAAAATACTGATTCTATTGGCAACCATACTACTTCTATTCCAATATGCTTTAATAACAGTAAAGATCTTAACAAATTGAAACAGACAAATTGTCATTCACATAAAGCAATTAGTACACAAAATTTTTCAATATTTTACCAAAATGTTCAAAATTTATCAACAAGATTGTTGTTGTGTTGTTGTGTCAGATGTTGTTGTTTTAACTGAAATTAACATTTATGAGGAGGAATTAATACATGTAAATATTACAAATTATAAAATATCTTTTTGGACAAGGAAAACTACCACCGGTGGTGGTGTATTAATCTTAACCAAAAGATTTGTAAAATGTAAAAAGGTTTTAAATAAAGAGGTTCAAGAAATTATTTCAGAGAAGGAATTTGAGTGTTGCTTGGCTGAGATAAATATTAATGATTTTTCCTTTTTATTAGTAGGTGTATACAGAACTCCTGAGTATAAGTATAATGATTGTTTTTTAACTAAACTTGAAGCTGCATTAGATGTTTTAACAAAGAAGTATGAAAATATAATTTTAGCAGGTGACATAAACATAAATGTACTGAAACATGATGCATTGTATTATAGATTTTTAAGTACTATAACTATGTGCAATATTTTGTATAAAGTTAATTTTCCTACAAGGGTTACCAACAACTCAGAAACAGCAATAGATAATTTTATTACTAATATAGACACCATTCAGACAAATGTAACAGGAATAATAACACTTGTATCTGATCACGATGGTCAGCTTTTAGAGCTAGTAGGTTTAAAAAGCATGAAAAGTCAGTAAAAAGAAAAAATGTAGAAAATTTAAGGAAAATGATGTTATGATATTTTTAAGTAATGAATTGTGGTTTGATGTTTTTCAATCTTCTGTAGATATAAAATAAAAATATGATGTTTTTATTTCTATTTTTAGTTATTATTTTGATGTAAATTTTCCAAAAGTAATTAGTATGGAAAAAAGTACAATGATGATAAATGGAACTCGGGTGAAATAGTAGAGAAAAGTTTGAAATAACAGAACTTGAGAATTTATGTAGGAGAAGAAAAGATAATGCAATGAGTAAAATTATTAAAATAAAGAAAAAAGAATTTAAAGAATCAATTAACAAAGCAAAACAAACATTTTACGGCAAAAAAATAAAAAATTCCATTAATAAAACTACAGTAACATGGAAAATTATAAAAAAATAAATAAAACTTAAGTCGAAAACTGTAGATCTAACTTCAAATAAAACCATTTTTCAAAATGGTCAAACGGT